TGTTTTGTTTTGTTTTGTTCTAATATTTTTGACCCCGGTTGTTGAATCCATGGATGCAGAAGCTATGGATATGGAGGGCCAACTGTATTTGTTTCCTGTGGCCATAAACAAATTACTGTAAATTTTGTGGTGTAAAACCAGTATTTATTCTCTCACCATTTGGAGTGCCAGAAGTCGAATATCAAAGTGACAACAGTGTGACAGAGGTGCTAAGGGAGAATTGTCTCTTGTCTCTTCGAGCTTCTAGTGGCTGTTAGCATTCTTTGGCTTGTGGCCACCTCTCTGCTTTGCTTCACATTGCCTTCTCCTCTGTGTGTCTGTGTCTCTTCTCTCTTATAAGGACGTTTGTGATAGCAGTTAGGGCCATCCTGGATAATCCAGGATAATCTCTCACCTCAAGATCCATGATTAGTTACATTTTCTAAAACCCCTTTTCAGAATAAGTTGACATTCACAGGCTCTGGAGATTAGGATGTGAACATATTTTTGGGGCGGGGTGCGGAACCACTGAGTCCACTGCATAGCTAAGACAAACAAACAAAATAGACAATACCCAGTGCTGGTGATGATGCAGTTCAAACAGACAGTTATGTTACCCAGCAATCTCGTTCTTAGTGTTTACCCAAGTGAAATAAAAATGTGCCACATAGAAACTTGGAAACAAATGTTTGTCACCTTAACTTAAAATTGCCCCAAACCTTAAACAACCCAATGTCCATGAACTGGTGAATGAAAACTGGTACATGTGTACAATGGATTGCTACTCAGTGGTAAAAAGGAATGAACTGCTAATATATAAAATATTTATCACTTCTTGTGCCTTTTCAGATCTAAGTTCTAAATTTAATGTATCTCTTGTTGGAAAAGCAACATGGTTTTTGTTTTGGATTTGGAGGATTATTACATATATTTGGAAGAATAAAAATGAGACTAGCCAAGCAATTTTGAGTAAGACCAGTTATTGGGATAACTTGCCTCCTGCATATACAATTTAGCATTGTTATACTAAATGCAGGAGTGTGATCCCAGCAAGACGAATGACAGGCATAACTTGCCTACTGCCAATTAAAATGCACCGTTGTTCTAATAAAATGCACCATTGTTACAGTATAAATATTGTAAAACCCCATGTATATTGATTATGGTAACTAGATCAGGGCTGGTATATAAAATGATGCTTATTAAATAATTACTAGATGAATGAATAAAACTTATTTGAATGATTAAGGAATTTTAACATGTGGTTTAATATAGTTTTTTACATAAGTGAGGTGAGGTCAGTTCTAGAAACATGGCTAAGAAAGTGACTCACCATTTAGGGAAAATATGTCATGCCTATACTTGTTATTTTACACAAAAGTCAATTCCAGATGAATTAAATTAAAAATACTACAAGAAAAAATATGCAATACTCATAGTATTACGAGCTTATAAAGAGCTTTTTAGCATGGCTCCCTAGACAGAAACTATAATGAAGAAAGCTATATTTGGCCACATAAATTATTAAAACCCCTACACATTAAAAAAGCACTATAATCAAAGCAAAAGGTCTTTCCAGTAATTGAGTTTCTGAATGCTGTTACGTGTTATCTCTCAGAGTTAGAAATCGATTAGACATATGGAATATTTTCTAGTCATAGTCATAATAATGAGCACTCTCTAGATGTTAGCTATATGCTAGGCCGTGCTCTTAGCCTTCATCTACATTAGCATGATGATTACAGCAGTCTTGGGAGAGGCGTTCTGAAGTGATCCCATTTTCCACATTAGAG